GAAGGGTTCACTCCAAAATTTGAGCAAGTGAGAAAAAGATAGAATTAGACAATTGAAGGGTATGACGTATTCCTTTGGGATATGACGTATTCCAATTTGTTGGTACATAATGGTAGTCCAAATAACATCATATCAACAAAATGCCATTTAATCTATATTCTTTCTCGTTATTTAAATTAGCTCACACTTACATCCCCTATTTTTTTATCTTCTTTTGAGAAAAACAATTGGGTGAAATAAGTCTTTACTAAAGCATAGAAAACAGATTTCAAGGTAGAGAATGATGATTTTGGGAGACCTACAAAAATAGCAGATGACCATACCTCATAAATACGCCTGCATTCCATGTACCTCATGCTAGCCCTTAAAAATGTGAGTGCAACAAGCTTTCTAACAAGGGAGCTCGTAGATATCTGCTTCTGGATCCCACTACAGGAATCAAGAATAAATACAATTTTCACAATTGACATTAAGTACTCTTACAAAGTGAGTTGAACACAACTCAATCCTACAAAATAACCTTTGTAAGAAGATGGTATCATAGCAGTATGTTAAAGATATGATTTGATTACTCTAAATAGAAAAATATGATATAATTTGATTGCATCAAATAGGGAAATATTTATCTTTATAAATTATCTTTATTAATGTATCTCTTCTTCATTATAAATAAGAATACTCGTGTGTACACACATAATACAAGTAATCCTTTCAATAAATACAATGGACTAAGTTCATACAATTCCTGGAAAAGGAATTACCTGTATAAAGTTTCATAAACTAAAGGGACAGAAATCAAGTAATGTGGTTGATATCTTCTCAAATCATCCTTTAAAGAATAAAAAATAAGATATTAATACATGATGCAATGCATCGTCTCTTTATAACAAACCATACGTGAAACTTAGTAATAATACCTTCAACTTTCTCACAGTTGTGTATACTTGTTCAACACCGCACGAGAAGATAAAATATTCAGAAGCTCTTTCATATGCATGCCAGGAGGGCAACATGCTTAGAAATCTATCCCCAACTTCAGCAGGTACAATATCCCCTAAGTTTCTTATCTATAAATTCATTAACAAATGATAAACAACATCGATGATCAGTTAAAACCAAGAATTATCTTTAATTGAAAGCGATTTAAAACCTGGAAAACTTCATAAACAAAAGAAAATATAAGTACAGATTAACAAAAGGTGACTGAGCAGGCCCACATTTCCATTATGCTCTCTCTTCCTTCACCCGTACAAATGTTGTAATAAATATTAAGAGGGTGTTTTATCCTATTCCAGTTATACTCTTCACTTTTATTCAAATAAAATTTTATTATAAAATTGGAAATACATGAATTAAGTGACAAAGATATGAGAGAGAGATGGAGACAATATGCAAGACTGTTGGTTGAAGCACTATGGCTGTTAATTACCCCCAGCCTACACATCAACTCAACCAATATGCAGAGGAATATCACAAAAATATTTTGCCAACCAATCTAGCTCCAATAGTCCAACTAGAAATGGAATAATCCACAATTCATAACCATTAATTCAGATACATTTTATTAATTCATAACCTCAACATAGTTTTCTATACTCTGAACAAAAATCAACACATCCTGTCTAAAAAACCATTGCCACAATAAACTCTATTAAAGGATAGCCATCAAACCTGATGCAAAAGATTCTGATGTGTTAGCATAACACCTTTTGGATTTCCAGTAGTTCCACTTGTGTATATAAGAGTAGCAATGTCATCAGATTTGATTGCTTCATACATGTACTGCTTCCCTGAAATAACAAAGTTTTAGAGAATCGGATCACTGCTCCTTTAGATTATAAATACAAAGATCAATATGTCTCTTCTACTGTAAAATAAGCAAGCACATAATTTCTTAATATGAAATAATAAAACTATTAAATGTAACTCTATTCAGAAAGAGTTACATTTTTGGCTTCTCTGTGGTCATTACTATCTCATATGCACATAGAGATTTGGGAACCTTGCTGCATTATTTAGTTCCCTGCCCAACCCATCCCCAATTTTTCTTTTTGATTTTCAATTTTTATTATATTTAATCTTATCTGCTATGGAGGAATTCTTAGACCCACTAGCAGTACTTCACTATCTTTTGCTTAAGTATGTCCTCCTTGTGTGTTTGTGTGTATTCTGGTACTTTCCCTATGAACAAAAGATAGCACAGTTGAATGATAAATATATTTAATCCACATTTGCAGAGCAAGATCCAGGTGACATACTATTATCAAGAGAATCAAACAATACTCTGCGACTCTCTTGTCCCAAATGTATGAGTTCCATGAAAGTATAGACAGGCACCTCCTTTTCTCCTTCACTGACTAGGCCTGATTTTTCTCCCCAAAGCAGAATAATAAATCTCATTGAATTCTTCAAAGAAAATAGCTTTGCTATCCGATTACACATTTCAGGATTGTCCACAGCTAGTGCAACACTGAAAAATAATAGCAGCAGTTAGCAAAATTCTATTGAATAATCAATAGAGACTGGCATTTAAAAATGTGACAATGCACCAGCATAGTCAAGGAACGTGTAAGTATAAACATTATTGCTTATTCAACAAACTTAACTTCTACGGTGAAATACTATTCCTACTCTTCTTGTTGTTGTTGTTGTTGTTGTTGTTTAAATGCAATTCAATAAATACTGATTAAATCTTTTAACGCTAAGGTGAATCGTCTTTCTTCCCTACATTCTACCACTCTAGTAAAGGCCAAACTCAAAACCTAGCATTTGCAGACTAGATATGTTACTAAAACCAATTCACATTATCTTTTGATAATATTTTTTGACATCAGTTTTTAGGAACATTTCTCGTAGAACATTTTTAAAAGAAAAAGCTCTACACTGTTATATACTGTGGTTGTATATATGTGTTTTTCTGAAATAAATAAATAAATAACTAAATTAATTTATATATACATGATGCGCTTGAGAGGAACAAGGGGTGGACTAAAAACAAAAATTTTAATCAAAGAAAAGAAAGGGACTAAAATGGTGATTGTTCCAAGAACACACAAATGAGAAATATCAAATCTCTAATCACACTTACAAACCATAACAGAGCTCAAACAAATATTCCATTTCTCATCAATTCTTAGAACTTGTCAAGATGAAGTTGACCGGTCCCAAATTTTCAGTTTTTAGGGCATATAAATATCTAACTACAAAATCAAATGAACAATATATTGCTCACAAAAGCTGGAAGGCATAGTGAAGACCCACGGTGCATTTATTTTCATGTACATGTCAAATGATTGAGTATGCATTAATTTTAATAACAGAAATACTTAGGTGACAAGTCTCAAAATTGGACCACATTACACATATAAATGAAAGTAATAATCATACTGAAAAATCATTCAAATTAAGGTAGATGTAGAATGAGTTATGAAATGGCCAAATATACAATAATAGATACAATCTGTTTGACAGAAAATATTAATTAAACCTTTCAGAGTGGTTGTATATTTGCAGCAGTTCTTCAGTTGATGACCTCGAACCCCTTACCACATTGATTGCCCCACATGCCATCATACCTAAACTAAAATCATAACATGGATGTGATTAAAACAAAATAACTACTTTTGTAGGTGTATAGGTACTACCCAACTCGCAAGCTTGTGTACTATAAATCTGCTACTGAGCTTAGCACCAGTCCAAATGGGTAAAAAATAATTTTCATTCAGTAAACACAGGAAAGGTAGAATGTTCAGCTTTGTACTAAGATGATGAAGCGAAATGTAATTACCAAAATATTTTGCTTGGCATTTTCTTCAAAGAATAAAATATGAACATAAAAATTTAGGTTATAGAAGCTCTATAAGTAGGCTAACTGCATTGGAAGCAACCTAGCAGCCTCCTATTTACCAATTTTTGTAGAGTTAAACAGTAATCCTAGGTACACAAAGCCATAAACAAAAGTAATTATTCTAAAGCACNTAGGTCAAAATAGCTCCTTGTTTTAGGGACCAATGAGGGATTTCATATTGTTGGGGATTTAGGTGACCAGCCTAAGTTTCACACGGATGAATTGAAGGGTTCACTCCAAAATTTGAGCAAGTGAGAAAAAGATAGAATTAGACAATTGAAGGGTATGACGTATTCCTTTGGGATATGACGTATTCCAATTTGTTGGTACATAATGGTAGTCCAAATAACATCATATCAACAAAATGCCATTTAATCTATATTCTTTCTCGTTATTTAAATTAGCTCACACTTACATCCCCTATTTTTTTATCTTCTTTTGAGAAAAACAATTGGGTGAAATAAGTCTTTACTAAAGCATAGAAAACAGATTTCAAGGTAGAGAATGATGATTTTGGGAGACCTACAAAAATAGCAGATGACCATACCTCATAAATACGCCTACATTCCATGTACCTCATGCTAGCCCTTAAAAATGTGAGTGCAACAAGCTTTCTAACAAGGGAGCTAGTAGATATCTGCTTCTGGATCCCACTACAGGAATCAAGAATAAATACAATTTTCACAATTGACATTAAGTACTCTTACAAAGTGAGTTGAACACAACTCAATCCTACAAAATAACCTTTGTAAGAAGATGGTATCATAGCAGTATGTTAAAGATATGATTTGATTACTCTAAATAGAAAAATATGATATAATTTGATTGCATCAAATAGGGAAATATTTATCTTTATAAATTATCTTTATTAATGTATCTCTTCTTCATTATAAATAAGAATACTCGTGTGTACACACATAATACAAGTAATCCTTTCAATAAATACAATGGACTAAGTTCATACAATTCCTGGAAAAGGAATTACCTGTATAAAGTTTCATAAACTAAAGGGACAGAAATCAAGTAATGTGGTTGATATCTTCTCAAATCATCCTTTAAAGAATAAAAAATAAGATATTAATACATGATGCAATGCATCGTCTCTTAATAACAAACCATACGTGAAACTTAGTAATAATACCTTCAACTTTCTCACAGTTGTGTATACTTGTTCAACACCGCACGAGAAGATAAAATATTCAGAAGCTCTTTCATATGCATGCCAGGAGGGCAACATGCTTAGAAATCTATCCCCAACTTCAGCAGGTACAATATCCCCTAAGTTTCTTATCTATAAATTCATTAAAAAATGATAAACAACATCGATGATCAGTTAAAACCAAGAATTATCTTTAATTGAAAGCGATTTAAAACCTGGAAAACTTCATAAACAAAAGAAAATATAAGTACAGATTAACAAAAGGTGACTGAGCAGGCCCACATTTCCATTATGCTCTCTCTTCCTTCACCCGTACAAATGTTGTAATAAATATTAAGAGGGTGTTTTATCCTATTCCAGTTATACTCTTCACTTTTATTCAAATAAAATTTTATTATAAAATTGGAAATACATGAATTAAGTGACAAAGATATGAGAGAGAGATGGAGACAATATGCAAGACTGTTGGTTGAAGCACTATGGCTGTTAATTACCCCCAGCATACACATCAACTCAACCAATATGCAGAGGAATATCACAAAAATATTTTGCCAACCAATCTAGCTCCAATAGTCCAACTAGAAATGGAATAATCCACAATTCATAACCATTAATTCAGATACATTTTATTAATTCATAACCTCAACATAGTTTTCTATACTCTGAACAAAAATCAACACATCCTGTCTAAAAAACCATTGCCACAATAAACTCTATTAAAGGATAGCCATCAAACCTGATGCAAAAGATTCTGATGTGTTAGCATAACACCTTTTGGATTTCCAGTAGTTCCACTTGTGTATATAAGAGTAGCAATGTCATCAGATTTGATTGCTTCATACATGTACTGCTTCCCTGAAATAACAAAGTTTTAGAGAATCGGATCACTGCTCCTTTAGATTATAAATACAAAGATCAATATGTCTCTTCTACTGTAAAATAAGCAAGCACATAATTTCTTAATATGAAATAATAAAACTANCCTATTCCAGTTATACTCTTCACTTTTATTCAAATAAAATTTTATTATAAAATTGGAAATACATGAATTAAGTGACAAAGATATGAGAGAGAGATGGAGACAATATGCAAGACTGTTGGTTGAAGCACTATGGCTGTTAATTACCCCCAGCCTACACATCAACTCAACCAATATGCAGAGGAATATCACAAAAATATTTTGCCAACCAATCTAGCTCCAATAGTCCAACTAGAAATGGAATAATCCACAATTCATAACCATTAATTCAGATACATTTTATTAATTCATAACCTCAACATAGTTTTCTATACTCTGAACAAAAATCAACACATCCTGTCTAAAAAACCATTGCCACAATAAACTCTATTAAAGGATAGCCATCAAACCTGATGCAAAAGATTCTAATGTGTTAGCATAACACCTTTTGGATTTCCAGTAGTTCCACTTGTGTATATAAGAGTAGCAATGTCATCAGATTTGATTGCTTCATACATGTACTGCTTCCCTGAAATAACAAAGTTTTAGAGAATCAGATCAATGCTCCTTTAGATTATAAATACAAAGATCAATATGTCTCTTCTACTATAAAATAAGCAAGCACATAATTTCTTAATATGAAATAATAAAACTATTAAATGTAACTCTATTCAGAAAGAGTTACATTTTTGGCTTCTCTGTGGTCATTACTATCTCATATGCACATAGAGATTTGGGAACCTTGCTGCATTATTTAGTTCCCTGCCCAACCCATCCCCAATTTTTCTTTTTGATTTTCAATTTTTATTATATTTAATCTTATCTGCTATGGAGGAATTCTTAGACCCACTAGCAGTACTTCACTATCTTTTGCTTAAGTATGTCCTCCTTGTGTGTTTGTGTGTATTCTGGTACTTTCCCTATGAACAAAAGATAGCACAGTTGAATGATAAATATATTTAATCCACATTTGCAGAGCAAGATCCAGGTGACATACTATTATCAAGAGAATCAAACAATACTCTGCGACTCTCTTGTCCCAAATGTATGAGTTCCATGAAAGTATAGACAGGCACCTCCTTTTCTCCTTCACTGACTAGGCCTGATTTTTCTCCCCAAAGCAGAATAATAAATCTCATTGAATTCTTCAAAGAAAATAGCTTTGCTATCCGATTACACATTTCAGGATTGTCCACAGCTAGTGCAACACTGAAAAATAATAGCAGCAGTTAGCAAAATTCTATTGAATAATCAATAGAGACTGGCATTTAAAAATGTGACAATGCACCAGAATAGTCAAGGAACGTGTAAGTATAAACATTATTGCTTATTCAACAAACTTAACTTCTACGGTGAAATACTATTCCTACTCTTCTTGTTGTTGTTGTTGTTGTTGTTGTTTAAATGCAATTCAATAAATACTGATTAAATCTTTTAACGCTAAGGTGAATCGTCTTTCTTCCCTACATTCTACCACTCTAGTAAAGGCCAAACTCAAAACCTAGCATTTGCAGACTAGATATGTTACTAAAACCAATTCACATTATCTTTTGATAATATTTTTTGACATCAGTTTTTAGGAACATTTCTCGTAGAACATTTTTAAAAGAAAAAGCTCTACAATGTTATATACTGTGGTTGTATATATGTGTTTTTCTGAAATAAATAAATAAATAACTAAATTAATTTATATATACATGATGCGCTTGAGAGGAACAAGGGGTGAACTAAAAACAAAAATTTTAATAAAAGAAAAGAAAGGGACTAAAATGGTGATTGTTCCAAGAACACACAAATGAGAAATATCAAAACTCTAATCACACTTACAAACCATAACAGAGCTCAAACAAATATTCCATTTCTCATCAATTCTTAGAACTTGTCAAGATGAAGTTGACCGGTCCCAAATTTTCAGTTTTTAGGGCATATAAATATCTAACTACAAAATCAAATGAACAATATATTGCTCACAAAAGCTGGAAGGCATAGTGAAGACCCACGGTGCATTTATTTTCATGTACATGTCAAATGATTGAGTATGCATTAATTTTAATAACAGAAATACTTAGGTGACAAGTCTCAAAATTGGACCACATTACACATATAAATGAAAGTAATAATCATACTGAAAAATCATTCAAATTAAGGTAGATGTAGAATGAGTTATGAAATGGCCAAATATACAATAATAGATACAATCTGTTTGACAGAAAATATTAATTAAACCTTTCAGAGTGGTTGTATATTTGCAGCAGTTCTTCAGTTGATGACCTCGAACCCCTTACCACATTGATTGCCCCACATGCCATCATACCTAAACTAAAATCATAACATGGATGTGATTAAAACAAAATAACTACTTTTGTAGGTGTATAGGTACTACCCAACTCGCAAGCTTGTGTACTATAAATCTGCTACTGAGCTTAGCACCAGTCCAAATGGGTAAAAAATAATTTTCATTCAGTAAACACAGGAAAGGTAGAATGTTCAGCTTTGTACTAAGATGATGAAGCGAAATATAATTACCAAAATATTTTGCTTGGCATTTTCTTCAAAGAATAAAATATGAACATAAAAATTTAGGTTATAGAAGCTCTATAAGTAGGCTAACTGCATTGGAAGCAACCTAGCAGCCTCCTATTTACCAATTTTTGTAGAGTTAAACAGTAATCCTAGGTACACAAAGCCATAAACAAAAGTAATTATTCTAAAGCACATAATATTTAAACAAGGACGATACCTTTTACAAAACAAAATTGCAAATATAGTTTTTGTTTACAATATATTGGCACCATCTCACATTTGCTTATGTTATTATTGTGCTAACAAAAATCTAAAAAAGCAATTTTAAATTTGTTTGTCTTGAAAAGCTTGTGGACATGTACACATATAAGTTGTGCAGCTAGCAGTTACGAGACATAATACTGTGAGAACAAATAACAAAAATAAATTCTGCTCTACACACCTTGATCAGCTACAAGCCAGCGACAAGAATTATCAGCAAAAAGTGCAAGCTTTTCACTGGGTCTCACTCCAATAACTCTCAATCCTTCAGCAAAGTCCAATATTGCATCCTCCAACTGAAATTTTGATTAGACAGATATAGAGAATCAGAATAGCATGCCACTAACATGACTCTGGATAAATTTCTCGTTTAATGTAATTCAACATTGGAACAAAAAACATTAGTTTTATACGTCAAGCTCATAAAAGATTATG